CTTACTTGAATAGGACACTTAAGGCACAAACTCCGTTTTGCCTCTAGCTGGGCAGGACCCCTGTCAGTGCTGCAAGGTACGGGCTGTTCCAGAGGACCCAGCACAGCCCCACTGCAGCGGGTGGGATCGGGCAGTGCTCCTTCCCGTTGTTCTCTCATGAAGCTTCCTATAAAGCAGGAATACTCTTTTTCCTGGCAAATGTGCATTAAGTGTCTCAGTATTAAAATTCTCCTTGCTCTTCCCACACTTCTAATCCCTTGAAAACATCGCTGAGCTCTTGGTTGCTGCAATACCCTCTGGCACGGAGGACCTCCTGTTGGATGCTCCGTGTGTGCAGCTGCGTGCGCGGAACCTGCCCTGACCCCTGCTCGCTGCCCTTCCTTATCGCTGCCCTTCGTTATCGCTGCCCCTCGTTGTCCTGCGCTATAAACACAAAATGCGAGGGGACACGTGGCTCTTGCAGCCAGAAACAGAGAGTGCACGTGGCATCCCGTGATTCCTAAGAAGACATCTATCTTTTCCATTTAAAGATTCTTCAATGCCAAAAACAGCACTATAGACATATGTGTGAGGAATTGACAGAATCGGGGGGGTGGGAGATCTTTTGTCCTCTATATTTAAAACTTCAGAAGAGGCGTGATGAGAAGAGGGGCAAGATGCCTGTGCCTGAGCTCCAAAGGCTCCTTCATGCTGAATCCCTCTGGCAGGGACTGCCCATGGCCCTGGCGTTATGGCTTTTGATACCAGCTGTGGCACGAGCTGTCTGGGTGCTCTCTGCATGTCATGTCTGCTGTAAAGAGGAGGGGTCTGCTCTGAGTTTTCTTCCCTTTTCCTCACATTTCTGAGTTTCTCCACTGAGGAAGCACTTGGTTTACTTTGGATGGGGCTGGAGCCCAAGTCAGCGTGTGACAGCACAGGCCTAGGGCAAGTCCAGGCTGAGGTGGCTGCAGATGGAGCAGGGGGCATTGCAGGAGAGGAGACAAGGGAACGCTGCAGTTCCAGAGTCATCCCTTCAGTGTGACCTTTCCTCACCTGCAAGGTGGGGGAAGCAGCTGTAGAATAAATGTTCATCCCAACAAAGTAACCTCTCAGCAGGAGGATCACTGTCCTCCTCCTGAATTAGCTCCTGCTGCAGCAGGTCCGGGTCGTGGGAGCTGAGGTGGGCACAGCAAACCCCAGCAGCCTCTTTCCATGCAACCCGGCTTTCTGCAAACCCTCGAATGCTGCAGGGCTCCAGGAAACAGAAAGCCTAAAACTGAAGCCTCACATTTCCCTCATTTTAGTGAATCTGAATGTGATGCACTTACCTTCCTTCCTGTTGCTGGCCTTCCCAGGCGGTCTCAGGTGGGAAGAGCACTTACTGAGCACTTACATGGGCAGCACTCACTGCTCTCCTGCCAGTAGCCACGTTCTTCAGGCTGAGATTCATCAGAACATGTCCTAGATGATGGGCCAGGTCTTTACTTATTTCAAAGGTTATGCTTGGACACTTTTTACAATGGTAGTGGATATGAATATACTTCATATATTACCTTGCAATATAAACCTTGTGTTCCCACATCAGCATAGGAGGAGGTTTAATTCACATAACTTGCACACAGAACGAACAAACTCTTCCTGCTCCAAGGTTACATTTAAAGCAAATAGTGGATGAGAAGCTCTACAAGCAGGTAGGAATAGCCAGGCGGGTACCGTGGGCACCAGGTGGGCAACCAGGTGGGCATCACTGAAGCTGGTGGTGGCTGGGGGTCACTCTAGGCAGCCCCCAGGAGCAGGCAATGATGCTACAACCTTGGGCAACACTTTGGCAAACTCAAAGCAACATCTTATAGCAGAGGCAGGTGATTTTATTTTAAAACAGAGCTGATTTGACTCACTCGTGCTCATATTCTCACACCCACATGCTCACAGGCACCAAGGTGGGGTATCTGCACCATGTCTCGTGCACACACACCAGGATGCCTATGTCCACCTTTGCAATGGTTTGCAGGACAAGAGATGGTGCCTATCAAGCTATTGCCATGTCTCCTGGGTTCTCCTTTGATCAGTGATCTGATGCTGGGTTTGGATCTGCTTTTTGGACCCTTCAGAAGCTGGGAGTGGCTCTTGTTCTCTCCATGCTGTTCCACCTCCATGAGTGAGGAGCCACCATCCCTTTTTTCCTAATCCAAGTGTCCTGAGAGGCTACCAGTGGTGTGTACTGGCATCTTGATGACCTTCTCATCTAGGGCCCATCGACATCCATCTTTCTTACACCTTCTGTTATAATTTCCTCCCTTGTGGGACTTATAATTTGCTCCTTGTGGGACTTTTCCAGACATTTCCATTCCTCCTCCAGTCTTACAGACATTTCCATTCCTCCTCCAGTCTTACAATTTCTATTGCAGCTCTCTTAGCAGAAGAAGTTAAATCTGTAAGAGATTTTTTTTTCTGAATGAATGTTGTGAGAGGTTTTGTAAGAGATTTGGGGGGATATTAGGCTTATGGACATTAAAAGGCAGGGAACAGGAACAGCTGCTTGAAGGAGAAAATGAGAAATGTTTTTGAGAACAGCTTTCTTTTACATGGGAAAGCAAAAGCCCCATTCCTCTCTCTCTCTCACGCCATCTGTGTTTGTTAACTCTAACTGTTTTAGACACAAAACATCTCTTTTTATGTAAGCCAAGCTAACACAATCCACATAACCATCTATATATGTAGAGGAGCTGCACAGGAAAAAAAAGAACAATAGGAAGATTTAATTTAAGCTTCTTTTCTAAGCTTCAGAGGCCGAATAAAACACTGTCAGAACGTCTCTGCAGTTCATGGATGGTGCAAGGCAGGTATTATATGAACATATTAAGACACTTAGGATGTCTTGCCCCAGCCAGCCCATAGCCTGTTTCCAGCTGTGGCCATATGAGAAATCCTGTAAGAATAGTAGGGATTGCCCCTCATACTCTCCCAGTCTCTAATTGTTCTCAGCATATTTTATATATACAGAGCAATTCTTAACAGATTTCTTGCCTGTTCATTTGTCCTTAAATCAAGGATTCCTTCTAACATCTCCAATATCCATTGGTAAAGAGCTCAAACAGGTGAACCACCTGTTGCATGGAGTGCTGCTCCTTTTTATTTATTTTAAAACTGTTTTCTACCAGTTTGTTTTGATGGTCCAAAGTCCTTATATTTGATTCTGCCAATATATTAGGTCATGTGGTAGCTGTGTGCCAACTAATGGTGCTTGATATGGTCTCCCATATCTTGTAGGAGATCAGTGCTGGTTAGGCTCTACCTCATCTATCCTGGCCTGGGGATTCCCAAGGCCTACATGTCATCTCTGGCACAGAGACGCTTTGTGGGCACTGCTCTGCACAGGGGAATCAAGTGGAAATCAACAGAGAAGACAGCTTTGCTTTGGAGAGAATCACTCTGCTTCCACCTCAGCTAGTTACAAGCACTGCTTTTCCCAAACCACATTAAGCCTGTGCCCTTCTCCTTAGCCTCCCTAAGGACTGAAAAGAGTCTTTAGCTCTGATCTCCACCGCAAGTCTGAGCTCGTTTCTCCATCATGCAGCACTTGGCAAGACACGTGCGTTTCCCACCCCAATGGATGCACCACGAGGTGGGTGTCCAGCAGATAAGCTTTCAGCTGAACATAGGTATTAGTCACTCTTTAAAAGGAAGCTCTTTTTTATCTTGGGGTTTCTGGATGCTATACCTTACGCTATGTTTGTTACCTATAGACCTATCCTAGTCCGAGCAAAGGTGTTTCCAGTGGCAATGACAACTAAACAGAAACACTAAATGTGTGTGAAATGTTTTTCCAACCCACAGTGCTGCAGTTTGTGCACATTAAGAGTGCTGGCACTTTGGAATTAAGCAATACCTGCCAGATGGACAGCACCGCATATAGGGATTTGGGTAAGGACGAGTTGCCAGCTACACAGGTAGCCATGCAGCAGTATGGGCACCCTCCGTGCAGTCCTCCACGGCGAGGAGAGCCACATTGAGCCTAACTTCTGTCACTGGCAGAGGTGCCGCTGCCTCTTGGGCGCCAAGCATCGACACCGGCAGCACTTGCTTTATCGTAACACCCCCGTTTCTCCCGTGCAGCAGGCAGGGCAGGTTATTCATGTGCAGAGCTGTGTGTGGTATCTGGCTCGGGTGGCAGGAGCGGCTGTGGGAGGCAAAGCCGCTTCGCTGCCCTCCTCCTGCCGCTCGCCCCACATGAGGGGTGAGTCAGAAGCCTTGGGCTGCGCTCCAGCTCGGCCCCGCCGCGGGGAAGCTCCGTGGGAGCGCTTGAAAAGGCCCCCGTGGCTCTGGTGACGATCCCCGCCGCGATGACAGCCCGTGCGCTGACTCACAACCACAGGCTGGGCCTGTGGGCAGAGCGGCCCCCGCGGCAAACGCGGGGACAGGAGGAAAAGCGGGAAAAGGGAAGCGGAGAAAAAGGATGCGACGGGCGCTGCTGTGCCAGGGTGGAGGGGAAGGCGGCCTCGCAGCTCCTGCTGAGGGGCCGCGAGCGCTGCCGAGGCCGCAGCCCCTGCTGGACGGGAGGCTGCTGAGGCCCCGAGGAAGCAGCTTGAGGGAAGAGAAACACGGGGCATGGAGGGCTCGTTGACACGACAGAAACAGAGACATCTGTGGGGTTTGGTACCGCCTGACTCTCTCTGCAGGCCTGCATTTACATTTTATTTATACACTTAACAGAAAACAGGTAATTTAGCTGTAAGATATGTCATAAAACAACAGTAATATAGCATCGATCATACATTATGTAACACTTATGGTCAGAAAAACTCCATGTATGCAAGCCTGCCAAATACCATGCATGGATAGCAAGTGTGAGACATTGCTCCCCAGCTGCCGTCCTGGGGAACTCCCCAAATCCCGGCAGCAAGTGATTTTTCTATGGGTTCTTCCACCTTCCTCCCTTCCTGTAAACAATTTGCTCTCAGTGTAAAGCCCGAGGAAATGCTGCGATGCTGACAGATGCCCGAGGCTGGGCAAAGGCCATGCCAGGCTCGGCTCCAGGGCCGCCAGGACCTGGGACTGCCTCTATGCTGCTGTCTGTGGGGGGCAAAGGGACACGCAGTGACACGGGCTACCCCGGGAAGGGCTCTCTTGGCCGCCGGGTGCCACTTCCTCAGATGACGGTGCTGTCCAGGACAGGCACAACCCGTCCTGCACTTGTACTCGTCCTGCACTTGCTGCTGCTACTCTTTCTGCCTAGTGCTTGACTACGGACCTATCCGTCCTGATGAGTAAACCTCAACACTGCCCCTGTGCAGCAACCCCTATGGGGGTAACCAAGACCTGTATTAGTCTTCTGCAGTTTCCTTTTGCCAACTTGCAGCCTGCGTTTGGTTTGTTACTGGCAAAGCACAGAGGTATCTCAGAGATGCTGCTGGGGTGGTCGTAGGAGTAAGGAAGGGGAGAGGGGGGCTTTGTGCGTTATCCACATTTTTAAAGTATTTTATCAACCCCAAGAACTGGAAATACACCTCTTTAAAAGCAGGTTTTGCAGAAAATCCCATGGCAAGGGACTTTTGGAACATGCCACAACTCTGTCTGCTAAGCGGGCAATCAATACTTTGATCCTTGAATGTTTAGACTATTTTCTCTTATCTCTACTTTTAAGCCTCAGTCCAAAGCCTGTCACTGCCACAATAATTCCAATTAAAGTGGCGTGACCAGGAGCCAGTGCGAGCAGGTAACTGTGGGAAGTTGTGTCTTTTCAGGCAGCAGTTCAAGACACACACACATATGTATCTTTTCCATTTGTCTTTTCACACATGGGCCACGACTCCACAAGTGCTGTTAACTATCTTCAGAGGCAGCCCTAGTTTATGCTGGTTGGTGGGACCAGTGACTGTCCCTGATGTTTGCATGATGGTGACAGTCCAGATTAAGGACCAGACCTAGCTTAAAATGAAGCCTGCGAGGAGAAAATAGGAGAGGTTTTAAGGTTCATTTTAATGGATCAACTCTTTGGTCCTGTTCTTCGTGTTGTCAGGGGAAAATCAAAGAATTTGAGAGGGGAGAGCAAAGAGCAAAATATGTGCCAAGCTACAGCCTAAATTATAAAGGGATGGAGATGTTCAATCACAGTGACTTTTCTTTAAACGATACAAAAATCCTCTCCAAGACTTGAAGTATTTTTAAACCCTCCTTAAATTGTCTCTTTTCCTCTCCAAAACAATCCCCCAAAATAGATTTGACAACAGTGCCACCTCAGAGAGCGGAAAAGGAGCCCGACGCTCGCTGTGACTCTGTGCAACGGGCCAGAATTTCTTGTCTGAGAGCCCAGCCTTGCTCCCCCTGCTGCGGTACTGGGCCAGGAGACTCAGCAGCAAGAAGGTTTAATTTTATTTTCTGGATTCCTTGCTGCGGGCGGCTGCACTGCCCGTGGAGGCTGAAGTAGAGCTTCAGCCTTCTGGGCTGCTGCGAAGTGATGAGGATTGGGAAGCAGTGCTGAGTAAAGCTGGGGGAGGCCCAGCAGCAGCCTGGCTTGCACATGTAGCATTGAACTGAACAGTCCTGTTTGCCCCTCTGTTCCTGTATCACAGGGAAATCCTGATGTGAGGAATTCTGACTCATTGGGTTGGAGGAAAAAGTTTCAGTGCTGCCAAGTAGCCCTCCACTTTATATTCATTCCCCTGCTGTGCCATTCTCTTTTTGGTGGAAGGAGGGTCAATGACAGCAGCTTTACGTCCAGTCCAGGTATATTTTCATGTCTGGTTCCTGCCTTTGGCTGTTTGATTGGAAAACAGAAGGATCTGCTAAGCTGGCACTTCCACAGGGTCATGGCCAAATGGGATGGACTGTGGCCACCAAACATAGACACCAGCACTGGGAACCCATGCTGGTGCTGATTGCAGGAGATGCTGCAAGATACTGCAAGAGATTCCTGTTGGGGTCATTGCATTAAATGCAGCTGAAAGCCCCGGGGTGTGTATGATCAGTGAGCAAAGCATGGGAAGAAAGGCCTGTCTCCTGGTGTGGGGACTCCACATTTCAGGAAAGGAATGGAAGGACATCTCTGGAGCAATGGCCTTCCATGGGAATGGAAGGAAATCTCTGGAGCAATGGCCTTCCATGCTCAGCCCTTGCAGGTGGGTATGGAAGAGCTGGTTGGCACAGGACTGTACCACAGAGGACCGATCCAAACGGGAGGTGTGGATTTGCACTTCTTTCCAGCACAGCACCACCGAGGGGCCCATGCTGCCCTAGGTTCCCAGAGATGCGTTTGGCTGTGCAGTTCTGTGCAGTTCCTGCTTCAGGACCAACTGCAAAGTTACTACAACCCTTAAAAAAATAAACAAACAAGAAGCAACTGAACATTCTGGAACAGCAGAATTCTGCAGTTCCAAAAGCAACCAGTTTTTCAAGGGTCCTCATCACTCCCACAGTGCAAAACAAAAAAGCATACAGATAAATGAGAGATGTAGTACAAGGTTATTATTTTGGAGAATTAATTTACATTTTCATTAAAAAGAAAGTCTGGGAGTTTGGGGTGAAGCTGATCTAATGGCTTTCCTGGTTTTGCTGCCCTTTCCTTCACAGAATAACAATCAGTTGCTATTTTAAAGACATGGACATTTTTGATCTGAGGTACTACAGCCTACCAGAGATTTAGATTTATTTTCACCATTGGCTGTGCTGTGTTTCGAACGGGAAGCTTTGGATTCACACCAGTTCTACCCAGGCCTTACCGTGCTGCCCAGCATCTCCACCAAGACCTATTTTAGATGGAGAGTTTCCTCCACCCATCTCTATGGCTTTTAACAAGGCTTTATTATTGCTCACCTTTCTATGATGTTTGAGAAGGCATGGGGAATATCTGAAGTTGTTTAAAATGATGTCAAGTGTCCCTGGGAGGCGGGTAAGCGCCAGCAGCATCGCGGCAGAGGAGGTCTCGGACAGCGGTGGAAAGAGCAGCATCTTGCAGAGCACAGCAGGATCCTGAAGCAGGCAAAGCAGCAGCCAGGGGCGGGAGGCCACCCAACGTCTCCCTCTCCTTTCCCAGGTCTCGGCACAGGCAGCTCAGACATCTGGGCTGTCCTGAGGTGAGCAGGGACCAGGTGCCCCACACCCTGTGGCCAGTTCAGTGGGATGCTAGCACTGATGTGTCCCATGGTGCTGGCCCACTCCCTGGGCTGCTTCTTTCAGAGGCCTCCTGCAGCCTGGTCCAGCACAGGCCTCCTTTTAATCGCTATGGGTGCTCTGCAGTGGGCACCACCTGCTGCAACCCAGCCTGTGAGAGGGCAATGAGACGGGCCGGCCCCAGGGAGACTTCAGAGCCCGCGTGCCAACACCGCGCGTGCGCCCTGCGAGCGCCAGGCACGGGTCTGCTCCGAGCGCGGAGGAGAGCGCGGCCTCCTCCGCGTGAGATGGGGAAGCAGAGGCCTCCTCTGCCTGCGGCGCGACGCACAAAACCCGCAGCGTGTCCCGGCAGGAAAACAAGCCCACGTGCAGCTCACCGCCCCCTCGCTCAGGAGGCAGCTCCGAATGCCCATGCCCCACAAACGGGAGTAGCGGTGGTGACATTTCTCCGTGCAGCAGCTGCCCCCCGTCGCCCCTGTCCACCTACAAGTCCCGCTGGCGACGAGCGCCAGCTACTTGGAGCTGGTGTACTTGGTGACAGCCTTGGTGCCCTCGGACACGGCGTGCTTGGCCAGCTCGCCGGGCAGCAGCAGCCGCACGGCCGTCTGGATCTCGCGCGAGGTGATGGTGGAGCGCTTGTTGTAGTGCGCCAGGCGCGACGCCTCGCCCGCGATGCGCTCGAAGATGTCGTTCACGAAGGAGTTCATGATGCCCATGGCCTTGGAGGAGATGCCGGTGTCCGGGTGCACCTGCTTCAGCACCTTGTACACGTAGATGGAGTAGCTCTCCTTCCTGCTCTTGTGGCGCTTCTTATCCCCCTTCTTCTGGGTCTTGGTCACCGCTTTCTTGGAGCCCTTCTTGGGCGCAGAGGTGGATTTGGCTGGCTCTGGCATCTTGGAAGCTTTCGCCGGTGCTTAGAGCTGCTTGGAAAGAAGAGCAAAAGATCAGATTCTTTTTGAGTCTCGCACAGTCTGATTTTACTTGACCACAGGAGGCTGATTCAAGGGAGGAAGGAAGGGCTAAACGCAGAGACGCGAGACGCAACGACATCTCTGACGTGTGAGATGAACGTCCCGCGACTCACCGCAAGCATCTGGGAATCGCCAATGAGAACTGCTCTGTTTTGTACATGTTTGTGTGCTGTTTTCTGTTTAAATTCCTATCAAACTGGGATTGTAGTAAGTATTGCTGAACCCAAGCCTGGTTAGTATCTACTTGGCAAATATGGGCTGGGGATGAGCATCTTTCTGACTATATGACAGGAAATGGTACTTGAGAAAGAAAACAATTGTTACAACAAGGATTAAATCATTCTGGAGTGGCCTGGATACAGCTATGAGAGAACACTGCAGCCACCTTTATATTAGATTGTTTAAAATTATTTTAAAAGTTATTACAAACTCTAGTAAACCCCGTTTGTTGCATGTGGGCCAACGTTTATCTTGTGCGTGTTTGCATTTCTGTGGCTAATGTCTTACAATATATGTTACAGAAGAACATAAAACAAACTTTAAGCTGGTGAACTGAAGTAATGGAAACATGTGGTAATGGGTGCAAGTTGAAACCCAGGGAGTTCCATCTGCATGTGAGGAAGAACTGCTTTGCTGTGAGGGTGCCCGAGCCCTGGCACAGGCTGCCCAGGGAGGCTGTGGAGTCTCCTTCTCTGGAGATCTTCCAAAGGCGCCTGGATGCCGCCCTGTGCCCCGTGCTCTGGGTGTCCCTGCTGGAGCAGGGGGTTGGACTAGATGAGCTCTAGGGGTCCCTTCCAACCTCAACCATTCTGGGATTCTGTGAAATTCCCAATACTCCAGTTAGCTAGCAGAAATACCAAAAGGCAGAAAAGTTGAAAGGAGGTGGCAAGAAGAACCTAGCATAAAACCAGCAAGATGGACAAGAAATTATAAAAAAAAATAAATAAATAAAAAAGGTGCTTTTGAGCTACAAGTTGATTGAGAGAAACTATAGGGACTGAAACAGTCTCTGCCATTTGTTTCTTTCTGCTTTCAGGAAAGCAGGTCTCCTTTGGCCAGTTTACATCAAAAGTGCCTCACTTTGTCCCTGATTTTTTCTTCACTAGGCCATAACTTGCAGAGCCCTGACCTGCTGTAATCATTGCTGTAATCCAGAAGAACAGTAATAAAAGACAATACATAAATGATCATAAAACTGAATGCCTGCTCTACACTATGGATTTATCCGAGCTTTACAACATGGGGGTCCAAGGCATAACTATGCTGCAACCTGGGCTTTTGATATGAAGGGTTTGGTGTTTTGGAGGACACTTTGATTGTGTCATGGAAAGGGAAATCTCCAGCTTCCAGTCTCATCTCAGGGCATCTCCTTTGAAGAAGACCTACGGATGACACTCTGTTGGCTATTAGAGGACAAGGGGAGCTTGATGGTACATGTGAATGAAAATGGAGAGAGTAAACAGGAGAAAGGAGTCTAGAACGTAGCATATGGGCCGTACACACAGACCCAAATGGGCCCCTGTCCCAACCTGCTGCACCAACTGCCAGTTGCTCTGCTCTCTCCTTTGGCGAGGAACGAGGTGGTTACCTTAACTCTGACCTGGTTTCAATCATTCTTGTCCACATTGGGATGAGTGAGACTAGCAGTTTTTGGAAATAAATGCAAATCTCATGCAAACAAAGTGCATAGAAAGATCCCCTTGCTACCTGAAAGAGCAGACGTCTTAAAAGACTGGAGCTGGATTTACATGCCCATGTCTCCATTGACATCAGCCTCCTGGGTCCAAATTGTGTGAGGAACCTCAGTGGCTACAAATCCTCTGCATGCGAGGTGCTGGCCAGGACAGGCTGCAGGGGATGGAGCAGTGCAACGGCCCCGAGGATAAGGATGGGTGCAATAACCTTGGGGATACAGAAACAGCCTAGAGCCCCTCTGAGTCATGAGTAAAAGCTGCCCTGTCTGCTCTCTGCTCTCATGAAAACCCTCCAAAATGCCTGCTTGTTTAAAAGCTAACATGAGACACTGACGTCCTCAATATTCAGGTTTTGCTCAAGCGAAGCACTTTCTTCCTTACTGTTAGTAGTAGCTTTGCCTTTTGAGATATGAGACATATTTGAGTTTCCTTTGCTTCATCACGCAGAAAATGAGTATTCTGTCAATCTAACATGGGATATTTTGCACCTAGACAGTAAAGGGCGGGATATAGGAAGACATCAGGTCACAAGGATAGCACAAACTCCTCACTGCACCACAATCTCAAATGCTCATGACAAAACATGCAAAACTAAAACTAACAAACAAACATTCCAAGGAGGGTAAATACATATAAATCATCCTCAAGTCCATGGAATAGTCATCATCTTAATGCATGGAGGATGGGAAAGAAAACAGACTGAAAGCTGTTATTGCTTTCTTTTAATTGGTTTTGCTTTATCAACATTATTGCTATTACTGCTGGGAATAACTGTTTCAGGAAGTCAGTATTTTTATACAGATACAATCTGTATCTGTTTTATCTGTATGTGGTTATGCCAGCTGGTGACCATAAGCAAATGTTTTACTGACCCTCTTTTAAGTTCAAAGCAAAGCAATTTGATAGACGAGAAAGGAGATGAGCACACCCAGAGAGAGCAGCTTTCCTCCAGGTGAACTCACAGGAGGTAAAGACCCATGGCTCAATCTGAACCACGTGCAAAAATATGGGCAGGTCCAGTCTGCCACAGTGGATTTTTAGAGGAAAAAAAGGGATTCTCAGGCTCAAAACAGTAAAACTTCTTTTGGAAAATAGGAAATGTGCCCAGAAGGGCCCTCCGGAGCTCCACACTCTAGAGGTCCACTCCATTTTTTTGAGGACTCGATACCCCTAGACATGCCCTGCTAGACTAATTTCTTCCCTCTTCTTGAAGACCTCCAAAGATTTGGTTTTCACAAGCTCCTAAAATCTGGAACTGACCCAAACTATTTCTTCACCTCTGCCACCTCATTCCCTTTCTTATTTATTTTCTGGCACTGTTCACAGTGGAGGGATTTGGCATGTTAAATTCTGAGCTGACCTGAAAGCGCTGAATATACTTTGAAATTCTGCAACCTGCCTACCCAAACAGCCCATTTTCTTCTCTATGGAAAACCAATGTGGGTAAAAAAGAAATCCCCTACCAGTTTCACTTGCAGTCTTGAAGATATCCTTTCCAATGGAAAGGCATTTTTCCAAGACAAGAAATAGCTGTGCATGTCTCCCTCCCTCCCTTCCTTTTCCCCCCAAAAGAAAACCTTTCACAATTGTTCTTAACTAACTTTTTAAAAATTAAATATCAAACACAACTACTGTGTTAGGAAGTGTTGCCAAGATCCCTGACCTTGTTACTGTGAGGGCAGGTGAACCCTGGTCACGGTTCCCCAGAGGGGCTGTGGATGCTCAATCCTTGGAGAAATTCAAATCCTCCTGGACACGGCCCTGAGCATCCTGCTCCTGCTGACCTTGCTTGAGCCTCAACTGTGCTGTGATCCTGTGACTCCTGGAAGCTGAAGCAGGGTAACTTACACCTTGAAATGCTTTAGGATGTTTCTGCTCCCAAAGGGACCTTTTCCATGGCATCCTCAGCCAGGGATTCTCCCAAAGATCCTTACTGAGGGAGACCGCACTGCACTAGGGAAGATGGGGTCGGTCAGACATCCAGGTCCCTGGGAGGCAGGGGCAGCCCATGCAAGAAGAGGCCTTTCGAAGCATCGAGGTGATATTTGAGGTTTTGAGGAAAACGTTTGGCCGTGTTTTTGCTTTACGGCTACTTTTTGTGCTGTGAACCAACCCAATTATCCATTTTGGCATTTTTTAATTCCTCACAAGCATCCTCTGAAAAACCTCAACAAAAGCAACAACAGTACCTTTCTTGGCAGCTCTAAGCGCTAACCAGCAGCCTGTCTGCTGCTGTCTTCCCACCTGAGAGAACCAGAGCGAATGTCAGCTGCATCTTGCTTCAAGTTGACTCCCTTTTCTTCAGCACCGTTAAAAGCAAAATGAACGGAAAACATATTTATAGATATAAATCACTGCAGACTCTCAGATCTGAAATGATCTGCTGCTGAGGAAGCTCATGTGAGGGCTGCTTCTACATCTGCTTTCTCTGGGCCTAACATATCGACAGACAGACAGACAGACAGACAGAAGCTTCTTCAGCATTTTTTTCCATAATCGGTCTTGCTGCTAAGTCTGTACGACCAGTGCCAAGTTGGTGGCAATGGTGCATGCAGAGGACAACGGGAGGACCACGATGTGTCCTTTCAGACTGCTTGTCAGGCAGGGATAGGAATGATTTTTTTTTATTTATTTATTTTTTTGCTATTAAAAGGTGCCCTTGCAGTGCTGAGCTCTGTGGTCTCCCCTCTAGGCCTCATTATTTGTCCTTAAATAAGAATGTCCTATTAGTTCTGTCTGATTACTGTCCCATTCTTTAATTTTTCTTGCTGTATAAAATAATGAAAATCTGGATTTAATTCTGCACGTCAAGAAAATTAAATTTGCTGCTATTTTTTGTTTTACTATTTCTCAAACACAAAGGGCAACAAATGACAGAATGTTTCCATGGAGAAGAAAGGCCTTTCTAATGGGTTCTTTCATCTGCTCAAAATTGTTTCCAAAAGCAGAAACAGAAGATCTATTAAATAGAGTTTACAAATAGCCAGACGCCAGCAAGTATTGCTTGTTGGAAGAGCCTATTTCTGCAAACACTAAATCCTCTTCCTTATATAAATGTGTGACAATCTACCTTAAAGTTATTAATTGAGAATTCTCTCAGCCAATCCATGTGATTAAATAGTGCTAACTGAGAAAACAAGCAGGTATTTTATGGTTAAGCTTAGCCTAGGTAATAAAACAGCTGAAATGTGATGATTCACAGTGAGACACTGGTGATGCTTCCTCATGTGAAAAACCTGACACTCATATTTTGGA